AGCTCCTTAAATTATATTTATTTTATAGCTTTTTCTTTTTCTATGTATTTTTTTATTTCTTAGTTTAATACAGGGGTTACTAATTTTATTATCAGGGATATTATAGTATTTTATTAATCCTCTTAATTTAGTTATAGTATATTTTTAAAATTAATTAGTTTAGGATAAGTTTACTATTTTACCTAGCCTTTAATTTAGTTAATATTAGGGTTATATAATTTAAGCTAGTTATATTCTAAAAGTATATTATATATTATAATATTTATAATATTAAATTTAAATATATTTTTAATTTTACTAAACTAAATTATAAGGTAATTAGTCTTATAGTTAATAATTCTGTTATTATATATAAATTATTATTTCTTAATGCTTATAAGGGTATATAGTTTCTCCTTTTTATAATAGTTTAACTATAAGTAGTTAATTAATTAAAATATAATATAGCTTATTATAGCTCTGGAGCTTATGTAGACTATAATTAGTTTATTATTTAACTATCCGTTTACTAGGAATTTCCATAATTTTTTTCCTCCTGTTATAGTATTTAAGTTATAATAGGTTATATTATCAACGCTATTATAATAATTATTACTATAAAGGTTAATATTAATATCATCTAAGTCTAAGGTAATCTATCCTGGTTCTTTACTTTAAATATTATAGCGTTTACACTAGGTATATCTAGGCTTAGGTATATATCTAGTAGTAAGCTTATAGTATTTCCAAAGGTTATTTTAGCTAATTCCTTATAGTTTATTATTATTACTATACTTTATAAGGTTAAATCTTTACTATTCTAAGTTATAGGTAACGTATATAAAGGCGCGGCGTTAATAATAGTGCCTTTTATAATAATCCTTATTATAAAGCGTAAATTCTTTTTATTTATATTCTACAGCTCCGTAGTCCTTATATTATTCTTAGAGTTTAAGTATAATATATTATTTATATAATAGTAATTTATAGTTAATAATATTAGCTTTATTATATTAGTTTATAAGCAGGATATTATTAATAAAGTAGATGGTTAATTTTAATACCTTGGCTATTAGGTATTTATCTGCGTTAGTCTTAATATATTATTAAAACTGGTTTCCGAGTACTTAGGTTCTATCGTAGGCAGTGTATAGATTAATCTATTTAATCTTACTTTATTATTTAAAGAGCTCCTTTAGTATAGGGCTTACTAGTAGGGCAGTATCTAAAAGACTATTAAGTTTATCTTTAGGGCTATTTATATAATATTAATTATTATAGATAATTTAGTCTGGATTATTTACTTAGGCTTTTAGTTCCTCTAAGGGTTCCTATTTACAAAGATATCCTAGCCCCTAAGGTTCTTAGGATTTACAGTTTTTATATAGTTTAGTAATATTAAGGTCTATATATTCTATATTATAGTTCTATATTATAGTATTTTAAAGATTATTATTATATTAGCGTATGTTTTCTTATTATTCTTATTTATAAATAACTTCTTTTTTATCTTTGAAGTTAGGCTAATCTTCTTATTTTATTATTCTATTGTTACCTAAATATAGTTAAGTAGTTGTATTTATATTATTAAGGGCTTATTAAACTAGTGTTCTAATATAGTTTATACCTTCTTAGTACTGTTTACGGTTTATAAGTGCAATATATTAGCATTTAATCTCTGCTATGTTTTCTTAGGTGACTTCCTTAAGCGTATTTAGGGTTTATACGTGCTTAGGTCTTTTAGGGGATTATTTAAAACCTTATTTATCGCTAAGGTACGTCTAGTATTAATTATTATAATATACTAAAAAGTGCAGTATGTTATAGTTTACTAAGGGTTATATAGTATTAATAACTTAGTTTTCCTTAAGTTCTAGGATAGGCGTAAATTTCTTATTTTTTTTTTTTTTAAGTGCTTAATAGTATTTTTTTATATATCCTTTTTTTCTACAGTTGTAGTATTTAATATTCTTACGTTATACTTTAATAATACTAAGGTCTATTAGTCCTAGTTACCTATTATTTAAAGAAGTAATGTAGTTATTTTACTTTTTTCCTTAGTTAGCTTAGTATTTTTAATTTTGCTTAGGTTAAATATTATAGAAGTTTCTAGTTTTTTCTTACTTCCGTTTTTTTTATTATTCCTAATTATAATTATTAATCTTAATAGCTTTTTAAGTATAGTTAATAAAAGTTATCTTTTTATAGTTAATTTTAAAAAGTTTATCCTTTACTTTAGGTTTTACACTATTATAGTAAACTTCCTTTTTTATTTCCTTAGTTTAGTTAACTTTAGTTAATAGGCGTAGGAAGGTTAACGTATACTTATTTAGTAATCCTTTTTAGGTAATAAAATAAAGTTCTTATTCAGCCTTTTATTATTTATTTATAATATTAAAAAACTTTCTAAGTTATACCTAAAATTTTATATACTTAGTGTAAATTTCTTTAGTTTGCGATTTAAGCTTTTTTATATTAATCCTGCTTTTTTTATAATTTTATATAATAGGTTAAAACTATATTTTAGCATCTTTAGTAAAGCAGCTTCCTATAAAAGTAACTTTATCTTTATTATCTTTTAGGGTACATAGGAAATATCTAAAATAGGTTATAAGTTTTAAAAAGAACTTATTTATTTTACGTAAATCTTTATTAAAGGGTTCGGGCTTTATTAATTTAAAAACCTTACCTTTCTCCCTTTTATTACTTTAAAGGTCCTAAAGCTGGGTTTAAAGAGCTTTAAACTTAGTCTTTATTTTATTATAATTAGCTTAAGAGACTATATTTTTAGTTAGTGCATCTTTAAGCTTAATATTATTATCTAAATAATTATTTAAAGCTTAGCTTTTGTAATTAGTATTATTTTTAGGTATATTAAATATTAGTATTTACGTTTTTTACTAAAATTTTTTATTACCCATAGGTCTAAGGTAACCGTCTAAATAAAAGTTATTATTATATAATAAACTAGTGCTTATATATTAGTATAGGTTAGCTATTTCTAAAGGATAAACCTTAAAATAGTTTTATAGTTTATATTAGCAAAGTAATTTGGTTGGTAATAGGTAATCTTATTACTAGCTGTAGAGAGAAATATCTAAGTATTTAATTTAAATACTATTATATTAATAATAACTAGCTATTTAAGTATTTTAATAAGTAATATAAAGTAAACTTATATATCTAGTTAATCTAGACTAGATTATTAAAGGATTTAATAATCCTGCCTTAGATTATTAGAATTCCTAATGATCTAGCTTATGGATTATTGAATTATTAAATAATCTAATGATCCGTGTCTGATTGGTTGGTCGGTCCGGCGTTTATCCGTGACCGTCTAACCTGTAGGCCTATTGTCGCGACCATAAGAGCCAGGTCGTGACAGTAAGCTTATATTATATATATATATAGTCTATATAATAGCTTATTAGGAAAATAGGACAATGGAGCGTTGCTCGGAGCCTCCTGTTGAAGTAGAGTAAGCTTACATTATATGTTTATATAACATATAACGGCTAATTAGGAAAATAGGCTAGTGGAGAGATGCTCGGAGCCCCTTATTCCCAAAGCTGCTCCCAGCTGGAAGAACAAAATGTGAGTCATTTTAACTACAATTTATTATTTTATAATTATACTAATTATATTACAGATCCCCCTACATATACCATGGGCTGATGTGTGCCGGGGTCACATCAACAATAGCTGTATCGGTGCATTACTTCATTACACAGAAAATAAGCTGTTAATCCAGTACCCCAGCGACTGCGTACGGTTCAAGTATCACAAGGAGATCTGAGGGAAGCCTTTTTGTTTTAGTACCTTAGTAGCAAATACCTAGCTGTTCAAATTGTGTACTACTTTTCCTACTATTACTACTATCACTGCTATCACTACTATCAGCTACTCTCAGCTACTATTAATATTTCATTACAGTATCTACTACTATCGCTCCCTTCTTTTTAGTATCTGCTACTTTAATTCTATGTAATATAGATGCTATAAGACTTTCGTGGGACCGTTATTACTAGGAGCAAGTGATAAGCACCCGACAGAATTCTTCGTTCATCAAAGCCCAGGTACTAGACGACGCCGAAACGGTATCCGCGTTGTCAAAAAAAAAAAAAAAAAAAGGCGTAAGTGATAGCGCTGATTGATCAAAAAGTAAGAGATTCACCTCTCCAAATCCTTCCATCTACTCAACTAAATCTACATGTAGCTTTATTAGCAGCGCTCTGCCGGGCATGCAAGCGAGGGGAGCAAATTAAGCGAGTCAACTCATTGAAGCTTGGTACGGCATCAAGTCAATATTGGGGCACATAAAGACAGATACTTCTATGTACAGATCAAGTCTACTAAAGCTCTGTTTCTCAATCAGGTCCGATCTAGAGAGCAAGACAAGTGATGCTGCAATCACCAATGAAATGGCCTCCCTCGCCAAAATTGGCACCCCACACAGCACGCCCAAGTCGCTTGTTATACAGACAAGATAGCGAAAATAGCTACTGTCGATATTGATGTAGTGTATGTATGTAGGCTGAGGTAACTGTAAGTCATCGTATCTCCGATTTCCTCACGGACATTCCACCCTCTCCGATGAAAGAAAGCCTGGAGTGTCTTCTAGCTCTCTGCCACACTAAATCCACCAATTTCAGTAGCTCAGTCGCAAGTGTTGATAGCGCCATGTGGGGTAGCGATGTTGGCGAGCTGGACAAGATGATTGGTCATGTCTCTGGCATGTCGGTGTCAGATCCATTTACGTCACATCATCTTTCTTGCCTCGTCTGATGAAGATGATGGAGCTTGAGTAGTAAACACATGATGGCAGTTGTGTGGAGTTGCTACAGCCATGGGCCTTCCAGTCATCACTTGTATTAAATGACATACGGCTTTCAGTAATTATGAAGATGAAATCCTCTTTGTGAGAGACACACTCTACTAGCTGTTAGAGCGATTCACAGCGCTGACAACCTGCAATACGCATCGCTTTGCTTAGCTCCTATCAAGTCAATACTGCCGCCAAGATGCTGTCACAACGAGCCCTATCCAACATTCAGCCCAACGACATCAAAAGTATCATGGGCAGAGGTTCATCGAATGTCTACGACGTGCATACCAATCCATCGGGAATAGTGTCTCTGGGGGTGGCAGAGAACAGATTGATGTAAGACTATGCACACTGGATACACTGTATTGTCCTTTTCTTATCTGTATCATAGGCACGACGAAATAGCCTCGCACATCAACTCTCACTTGTCTATCACCAAGCGGTCCCTCACATATGGCGACGGCTCTGTTGGCTCAGACCAATTACGCCAAAGTATCGCCAGTTTCATGAATAACACAGCTTTCCGCCCTAGAAAGCCCCTTGAACTGAAGCAAGTCACAGTCCTCGCAGGCGTATCTTCGGTAATCGACTGCCTTGCCTTCTGCCTCTGCGAATCTGGCGAAGGAATATTACTCGGTCGTCCGACGTACGTGGGATTCATCAGTGATATGGTAAACCGTGCGGGCGTCAAACCGGTTCTCGTCGATTTTGAGCGTCAGCCAAAGCCCACTCACCCCACGTCACTGGAGGCTGTCAAGTGCTATGAAGATGCCTTGGTCCAGTCCATTCAGAACGGGACACCTGTGAGAGCACTGCTGCTGTGCCATCCGCATAACCCCTTTGGAGTATGCTATGAGCCCCATGTGCTTGAAGCGTACCTCAAGCTATGCGCAAAGTACAAGATACAGTTGATCAGGTGGGTGAAACATTTGGCGAAAGTACACCGAGCACTTGCTGAGTATGTTCCAGTGACGAGGTGTATGCCAATTCCATCTTTGCGAGCACAGACTTTCCCACTCCACCAACGTTCACTTCTATCCTCACCTTTGACGTTGAGAAATACATCGACCCATCTCTTGTTCATTGTCTCTATGGTATGAGCAAGGTAAGCTGTCATCCTCCCGCCTGCTACGGCTCTGTCTCTAAAGATCCTCCTAGGATTTCTGCTCTAATGGGATCAGACTTGGTGCCTTTGTATCTCAGGCAAACCCCGAGTTGCATGCTGCCATGCGTGCGGTATCGTGAGTATTTTGCACACACACTTTTGCAGGCTACATGCACTAAGATGGTGACTTTGCAGGAAATTCGCGTGGCCATCGTCTTTGGCCGACACAGCATGGTGTGGCATTTTGAACGATGCTGACTTTCTAAGCACTTATTTCGATACACTCATCAAAAGATTATCCGCTGCTTATGAGCATTGCATTGCGCTCTTGAAGCAGCACGACATACCATATGTGCCAGCGTAAGTCTGCAATTGAGCATCGCCAATTTTACAGCTTTCTGACTGGTGTTAGGCACGCTGGGCCGTTTGTTTGGGTCGACTTATCGAAACACCTCTCCTCTTCTACAGTAGAGGCCGAGCGGGAGTTGGCGTGGAGAATGATTGACAACAAGGTTTGGATAGCTACTGGAGAAGCATATCGCTCAGAACGACCGGGGTGGTTCCGGATCACTTTTGCTGTTGACGAGGCTGAGCTTGAGCTGGGCATTCAGAGGTCAGTAGAGATGATGGTGTCTGCGAGAATGACTTTGCTAACGTTTTTTCCGTAACAGAGTAGTAAAATCTTTAAATTGTAAGAGGAAAGAAGAAAATGATCATATTTGATGAGATGCACAAAAAGTATGAGAGAAGGACTGCAGTAGATCTTCGGCACAAGATATGCCTCGTAAGATCTCACAAGTTACAAGATAGCGTAATAGTAGCTATAGAATCAGTTACAATAGAGAGGCAAGATAAATTGATCAACATTTAAGTTTATTAAGATAATCAGTAATGCCGATGTCAGATTGATTCATCTCGAGGTAACGATGATGCTTCCAGCGATTGGATCCAGTCACGAAGACCCGTCACATCAACGTCAGCAACAGCCAAATTATCGTAAAAGTCAAACTGAACAGAGGCCATGTTTCCTCGTTTATCCTGTCTCCAGGCAGCTCGCGCAATTATGCACAAAGTAACGTCTTCATGGTCAAGATTTGCAGTTGGTCTTAGGTAGTAGGCCACCCATTTATCGCTCTCGTCTTTTGGTTGAAGCAGTGGAAGAATTCTCGAATGCAAAAGACCAGTGGTATTGTAAGTGGGTTTCATGGCGTAGTTTGACTGAAGATCAGCTCGTAGCTGCAGATGGTATATGTTTTCGAGCGTATTTGCAAATGCGCTGCCATCGAGTAGTCCTTGTTGCCCACATTGACGAAGCTTTTGAATTGTCCATGTCTGCCACTCTCTAGAGTAGCAGCGGCGAAAGCCGAGATATAACAAAAGCGAGATGTTTATATCGACATTTTCGCTGTCTTGTAGAGTCGCGGCAGTCAATCCTTCAGCGATGCGCAGATTTTGATAGACGTAGTGGAAAGCACACAGCGCATTGCGATCAAGGTCATGTCCATTAGAAAGCATGGAAAAGCTACACGCCATGTAATTATTGTAAAGTGCAGCACTGAGAGCTGAATAACTGCTTTGGAAGAAGAGAGGTTCCGGAGGGATGGAAAGCTCGTCCAGTGGTTCGCCACAATCCGGCAATATTGCCAAAGGTTCCGAACATCCATCAAATGTTAAAAGCGAGTTGACCCTCCAATACAGCAAATCCATCTGGAAACGCGACAGAGCTTCTGAGGTTGGTCGCGAAGATTTGCTAGACCATGGGCCCCAAATAATGTTGTCAAGATGGTTAAACCTGGAAATGATCTGGACAAGTTCAACCCGTTCGCTGGAGACTGAGCGACGGACGGATCCTTCAGAAGATGAATCAGGGACACCCATATAATTGCAAGCATCAAACGAGTCTTTCTGGATGGATGGTTGTGAATATGGCACGATACTCTGAGCAAGGAAGTCCAGCTTTGCAATTGTGGCGTGCAATGCCTCATAGCTAGCAGGATACGGTGACATATCCGGCGAGAGATTTGGTCTTAGAAGCTGCCCAGCTGCTTTTAGATGCAATGCAGCAGGCTTGATATGATTCATGATGCACTAATAATCGGTCAGTATGTCAGCCAAGTGGGCATCTCGAATAAGTAGCAAAAGAATCTTACCTCGCAATATGCAAGCAACACACCGGCGACAATGGCCGGTTGCATATTAGTACATCCATGCTTCTTCGTCTGTGACTCCATCAGACTCAGGGTTTCTCCGTATGAGCGCAGTCCAGAGACTTTGGATTGCATCATGCTTTCAGCGGTCAATTCTGAGGCCGAGAGAAGGTAGGCTTGATGGATTCCTCCAATGGCCAAGACTGCTTCAAAGACCAAGTCATTTCCCCACGCCATGCTGCCAACGTGATCCCGCCAGAAGGTGATGTGCTCCAGGTCAAAGAGCCGCGGCGCGGTGCTTGTTACAAAGTGGTGGTAAAAGGCGAGTTCAGAGCGGTGCCTTGTCCTTGGAGAGGGTGGTATCGGTGCTGAAAAAGGTGATCGCGGAGACGGTAAATATCTAGCAGACTCTGGCGAAGATGAAGCCGTGCGCTCAATACTGGAAACTGAGGTTGATTCCGTCTCTGCCTCTGTGCATGGCGGTGTCTTGATCCCTGGTTTTGGAGATGGGACGGATCTCTTTTTCTGGTAGCCGTCGCAGATGACATTGGCTTTGATGCATCTTTTGCATATTGGCTTGAGTTCGTCGCATTTCACTCGTCGTTTCCGGCATGTTTGGCATCCAGTTTTAACCCGAATGTTCTTATAACAGAGTATACTGTTTTCCATTGTACAAAACACACGCAATACAAGTATTTATGGGTATTGAAGGTTCATGTTATTTGGCTTGGGCAAGATGCTCTTTTTACGAAGTGGAAAAGAGAGGATATGACAGGGTGCTAGATAAGGACTGTAGTCTTGTTTGAAGAGGGCGTCCAATCAATCAGACTTTATCTCGAACAGTGGCTTACGCAGAGCCAGTGGGGCAATCATGCGCTATTGTTCATAACTTGGGGTATGATGGACCAAGATTCCGTCTAGTTATAGATGCAACTTGGAGAAATAAGTCTACCAATCCACTATAGAGTCAACTACACTGTCCTAGCATCTGGTGGTTGATCGTCTAAACAGGACCAAAGCGAGGCTCCTCCTCGTGCGCTTCCGCTTTTGGTGGCAAAACAATGCCATTCAACATCCTCTTTGTCCAAATATGCTGTGCAGCTCCAAAGTCCACTTTCTGATCCAGCGTTCCGGCCTTGACACTTGTCCATTCGGGTTTCGCTGGATCGAAATGCCAGAGTCGAACGCCACAGTTGGAGCAGAAGACGCCTCCTCGGATTCCGCCCGATTCTGTTCTGCGCTCAAAGTTCCGAAGTTGGTGAAGCATTCTGGGGTTCTCCATCTTGACGCCTGTAGACGGAACAACCAGAGTCAAAGCAAACGCGGATCCGGTCTGGCGCTGGCATTCGTGACAGTAACACACGTTGAGCGAGTGTGGTTCCGAGGTGATGTTATAGACAACGGGATCCTCGGGACATTGGCAGCGGCCTGTCAGAGGTGGTTTTGGTAGTCGCCCTGACAAATTATCGGTTGGCGGTTTGGCAGAAACATCATTGTTGTTGTTGCAAGAAGGCAGCATAATGATTATAATGTCACAAGTATAGACTTGTTTTGAGTCAACAGTAGTAAAGCTGCAAATTGTGCACAGGCTGAAATTATTTATTTAAGAGGATACGCGTGATGATCCCTCTTCTTTTTAATAATCCCTGCCTCCAGGATCTTTTCCCTTTGCAACACATCAAGCACAGCTGAAGCGCCTCGAAGCCAATCTCAACCAGACGCTCAAGCAGCACAGAGATGATCTTGGTATTATGGTCCAGTTATTTCGAGTCATGGAGTTGTGGGGTAGCGACGGTAGCGAGCTGTTTTCCATTATTCGCCTCCAGATCGCTAAAATCGCCACCCCACCCTGTAATGCGGTGTGAAGATCAGTCGGGCTGAGTTTCACAACTTGATTGATGTCTCAGATTACGTCCCCGACGATAAGGACATGCATTTCTCAGGGTGCCGGGACTCTTTATCTATATAGACTGTCTGTTATAGACATTGTAGTGATTAAATTGGCGATTGACCTATCTATCATAATGGGCGCTATCCAGTCCGTGGCTACCAACTTATGGCACTGCTGGTATAAGTAAAAAGAAATCCCGCCGTTCGGCTACAGAGATTTGCGTGTCTTTCATGAATTTGATGGAGATATTAATGTTTAGATACCCAGTGATACTTGCCCTATTAGTTTACATTGCGTGGTTGTAGCCCCTGGCTCATGTATGCCTAGATGCTACATGACGATACACAAAAACAAGATAGCTCTTCAAAATATTTATTTGCGTGTTCTTACGTGCTCCAGAGCTACAGGTTCCCAATATCTGCCAAAAAGAAACACTATTACGATGCTGTGAATGGCCCGTCCCGTTTCTTACTCCTAATGATCCACTCACAGGAAGGGATCACTGAATTGTCTTAGACAAGACCTCACTCTCATAATTTCAGGGCAGCCTTTGACTAATATCAGTGCTACCTTGTCTTGTGCAACTCAGCCGTGCCACAATTTATCCCCTCATTTTCTTTGACATTGCGTTTGGATCTCGCGATTCGATACCATGGCAGCACTTTTGCATGGAGAAGAGAAAGAAGCGCCTCCGGATGACAGCGTCGTCGTTACAGAAGCCGTTGAGATGAATGTTGTGACAAGCGCTCCGGGTACTGTCTTGGATACAGTCAATGCAAAGTATACCGAAGATGAATACAGGCGTGTTCTCAAAAAGATTGATCGCATTCTGCTGCCGCTCATGTGGCTATGCTACGGTACCCAACAGGCAGATAAAACGGCTGTCTCTACGCAAGCAACGTTTGGAATGATAAGTGACATCAGATTGGTCGGTCAGCAATTATCGTGTGAGTGGTATTCATAACAAGCCTACAGTATGTGGCTATAAATGCTAATGACGTCTCTTAATAGGGTTGACGACCGCGTTCTATATTGCCTATCTCGTAGGCGAACCTCCTGGCAACTACTTGATGCAGCGATTCAGCGTGAATAAGATACTATTTATCTGCATGTTTTGTTGGGGCGTCGTTGTCCTCTGCATCGCATTTGTTCAAGATTTTGCCCAAACTGTAGCACTGCGATCCTTGCAAGGCCTTTTCGAATGCACAATTTCCCCTGCTTTTCTTCTCATCACAGCTTCTTTCTACATCAGCCAAGAGCATACCATGCGATCCATCATTTGGACAACGGCCAACAGTGGCTTTGATATTATAGCGCAGTTGGTCATGTACGGAATTGGAAACGCTGCCAAAAGACATGGAAGCGCTTTTGGCTCATGGCGATGGATCAGCATTTTTCTGGGGTCATGGACGATACTCCTATCGTTTGTAGCCCTGATCTTTGTAGGAACACCTAACGAAGTTAGATGGTTATCCAAAAAGGAGAAACACATCGTTGCTACCAGAGTTGCCAATAACCAGACTGGATCTGACGGTCACCATTCATGGTGTTGGGACCAAGTCCAAGACGCTTTCAAAGACCCTCAGACTTACTTCTTCTTTTTCACAGTTATTGCTGCCGGGATACCCTTTGGCGGAACGGCGGCATTTGGCAATCTCGTTTTTGTATCGTTTGGGTTTACTAACTTGGAGACGATAGTCAAAGGCATCATTCCATTGGATCTTTTAACTATTGCGTGGTTGTTACTGGGCGGATTCTGGTCGCTGAAGAAGCCTCAAACTAGATGTGAGATCGTGATTGCCTCTTGATAACCAAACTTCTGCTAAGCAAAATGCCTTAGTTTACCTCATGATAGCCTCAACTATCCCGTCATTTATCGGCCTGTTGACTTTGGGACTCTTGCCCAAGGAAGGCTTATTATGGACTCGATGGGGTCTCTATCTGATGATGGCAACAGGGAGACTACCGGCGACGCTAATCTGGACATTGCTACCATCCAATGTTGCCGGGAGAACTAAAAAGTCCGTCACCAGCGCCATTATTTTCATTGCAGTGTGCATTGGCAATGCTATTGGGTCTCAGACGTTTCGCGCTGAATGGGCACCCAGATATGTCCCTGCACTTGTCATATGTGGCATCATGTACGCAGCGCAGGGTATTCTCTTTGTCCTGTGGCGATTACACTGTAAGTTTTTCTTGTATGACAATGTTCATCCGCTAACGTGACGGTAAGATGTATCTCAGAACAGACGACGGGCTAAGAAGGTCGCGGAACTAGGAATGACGCCAGAAGAATCGGAGTACCAAGGTAAAATTAACGGAGAGTCTGATATCACAGATTGGCAGAACATTCATTTCAGATATAATTTGTAGGAGACGTGTTATTTAGAGGCAAGGATTGCGTGATCTGGTTAGAATCTTGTCTCTCCTCAAGAACTAACAGACTACAACACCAACTCATTCTACGGCTACGTTATACCAAATACAATCCTCGTATCTAGCGAGTAAGATGTCACTCAAAACTTTTATACTACATGAACCTAGTCCCTAATAGACTTTACAAAGGTTAGTATGCAATAATTACATCTATTCTTGTTGCCAGTTCAACTACTTCACTCAGCTCAATATGATACATCGTCGCCTACCCATAGTTGAGGCAGCAATATGTTTACGAATCCATAAGTCTTGCAATCCTAATACGTATCCCCTACAATACAGATACGTAGACCGTGCCCCTCAGCAAGATGACACTTGTGGCTTCACTCGTGATTACTGAACGCTATATGATGATTACTGAACGACGAAAGTGGGTTTTGCACTGTGCTCGTACTGTCTCCCATAGATGATGAAGAGTGCTGTATATATTGCTATCCCAAAAGTGCGAACTGTATCTTAGACAACTCGTCTGTGGTCTGCCTCGGTAATCTCGAAGAGCCCTCTATTGATCCAACAAGATTACCAATCCACACATTCTCCGAAGGCACGCGGTTTAGAAGAATTCTTCGTGACCCCGGATCAGCGTATTGCGATATTACAAAAAGGGTTTCAAAGGGTGTGGTAATTGTGATAACTGAATGGATCGCGGATATCATTATATCATTAAAGTGAAGAGATTTGTGGTGTTGACGAAAGTGAGAGAGATGTGTATTAGTATAGCTTCAACATTCAACTTAGGTGGGGTGAGTGATGAATAAAGAGTAGAAGATCATTATCTTTCACACTCTGCAGTATATAAAAGTAGCCTTACAGCAAAGGTTATTAGTCAGTAGGTGCTAGTAAATGTCCACGTAATACTAAGGAGTGCTTGTTTCTTACCAAAGATCCTACCCTCATCCACTCTGGCCCTTTTGAGGAGTGATAGGCAGCGATACACGTAATGGACATTGTAGTTATCTATACCAGCCTATGCTTGGCGGACACAACAGGCACCAGGCTCTCCGACCTATGTATAGAATGATGAAACTGTTTAGTAATCTTAAAAGAGAGTTGTTAACGGCAACCAGGGCTGCACGGCTAGTAAGGTCAATTCTCAACTGCTATAGTGGTAGCACATTACTTCCCCCGTAGCCGAGACTCAGTTCCAATGGATGATTACCCCAACACTTGCTATTAAGTTTTGGCTCAAATGTTTCCGACGTGCATTGGAGAGTATACTAATCACCCAAGCAGGCCAAACAGATGGCGGGGGTGGCTTCTCAAATCGTCAAAGCTGGAGACAGTCGTTGATCCGCTCAACTAATGTTGTTGAGCACTCGTGTTGTATAAATACAATGTCAGAGACATGGCACCAGGCGAATCGTTTCTCATCACTACCCATCAGAATCTTACCATAGGCTTTAAACTCACAGATACTTTGAACGTCAAACCCGCAACCTTGTCAAGTATATACTGCTACAACAATCAGTCTCACAATGACTCCAATTCTCATCACTGGCGCCACGGGGTCCACTGGACGCACTACAATCAAGTATCTGTTGCAGAAAGGTCTTTCTGTGCGTGCATTTGTCCACAAGGAGGATGATCGCTCGCGCCAACTTGAAGCTCAAGGCGCTGAAGTCGTCGTTGGAAATCTCCTTGATTTGCGTTCGGTCCGACGCGCATTCAAGGACGTCAAGAGAGCTTATTTTGTGTATCCTGTACAGCCAGGGCTCATCGAGGTCACTACTATCTTTGCTCAGGCGGCTAAAGAGGCCAAAGCCGAATACATTGTCAACATGTCTCAAATCGTTGCAAGATCGGAAGTCCCTAGCAATGCTTCCCTTAATCACTGGCTTTCGGAGCGGGTTTTTGATTGGGCTGGCACGCCTGTCACGCATTTGCAACCAACGATTTTCCATGAATGGCTTGTCTATGCCGGCAAAGTGTTAGGGACGAAGATCGCTTCGCCGTTCCTTTTAGCCCAACGGGCAAATTTGCCTCAGTCTCTACTGATGACATAGGAGAGTTGACCGCCACGCTGCTTGAGAACCCGGCCGGCCATGAGGGACAGTCATACCCCCTCGCTGGCCCTACAGAGCTGACGCCGCCCGAGATTGCCGATGTTCTCTCGAAGCACCTTGGAAGGAAAATTCGCTTCGAGCAAGTCAAGGCCAGCGTCTTGATTCGGTCATTCTCGCCCGTTGATATTCCGTACCTGGAGCAACATTTCGACACAGCGGGAGAGATGCATCGTGATGGTCTTATGGCTGGTACTAATGATTTGTTTGAGAAGATTATTGGCCACCCACCGCAGAGCACGGATGAGTTTGTGGCGCAGAACAAATCGATCTGGGAGAACAACGGGGAGGAGTTTACGGTGCATAATAAATCTTCCTGGAAGAAAGAGTAGGATGGGTGGGCAAAACTCAATAGGACCGTCAAGAAATAGTTTATAGTCATACGCTATCTAAGCTCAATCAACTGTATGTGTGTCACAACACAAGGAGGACTTGGAAGACACCTTGACACGAGTCCTAAGAATGAGTAGTAGGGTATAGATTACAGGCTAAGGTTATAAGAATATAAATCGATTAGAAACAAGTCCCATCAGTTATAGATATTGTAATAGCAAATGGTTCTTCAACTATGGCACACCCTAATGAAACCATCCTATTGACTCTGAGCACCTTTTAAGCTCTGATAGAACTTGCCAAATCACATCTAAAGTCAATAAACTCCTTCAGATATTTCAGCCTTTCCTCTGGTTTCAACTCTATCCCGTTCAACACTTCAAGAGTATCGCTAAAAATGATCTAGCTTTCCCCAGACTTGAATAAAGTTGGCATTTGTGACCCGACCAAGGCGAGCAAATGCCCGCTTCATTGCTTCAGGATTCGCAATCATATTTGCATCGTTGTCCGTAATGGCAATCCCCACAATCGGATCTCTGTTTTGGTTCACCAATTTTGTCGTCAAGATACTCGCTTTGATGCAGTAAATGATCATGGCAGCAAGGCCAGCTGCGAGTGCGGTAGCGACGCTGGATCCTGTCTCGCACTCGACGTCACCAACACGTTTGGTAAGTCTTTCTCTAGCGTGTAGACTGCGGTTCGCAACCACTTCAACGCCTAGCAAGACATACGTGATGCCAACGTCTGCAGTCCATTTGAAAGTAGTTCCATCTGCCGCTGCAGCGCCAATGCGGAAGAAATGGCCGGGCCATGGACCGCTAGGATAGTCTAGCTCTGTAAATTTCCCATCATTAGGCGCTGAGCAAAACATGAGCACTTTTCTGTCAACGGCCTTGAATTTCTCGAATTAGAAAATCTTTTTCTTCGATCCAGTAAGATGGGGGGTCAAAGAATGCCTGCGCTGCATAGTCTGCGTCGATATTTCTCTTTCTGTTTGCATTAAGATGTGTCCTGAGCCGTATTTGAGAATTCTTCCCTTGATGGGCACGGCGGTGATCTTGAGACAATATCCATCGACCTATACGAGACAGGAGGCGAAAAAGGCAGCGGTTTTCATTTCTTCAACACCACGCCAAATCATTACCATCGAGCGGAAGTTCTTCAACGAACTGGAGCAATCGATGTTACCTGCAAACTTGAGAAAGTCATTCATGGAGCTCTCTCTCCAGAAAGCGATCGTTATGCGAGTCTAATCGTCATGCAGTGGTTTATTCAACCCAAAGGCTCGCGCAGGATTTCTGAGTCAACTATCAAGCTCTTGTTCGAGCCCAACTCAGCCGATGGTGACATTGAAGTGGAAGACATAGTATTTCAAGACACATACAGCTTAATGCCGACACATCAAGAAGAAACAATAACCAAAGGCATCGAAGCCACTGTCGGCATACAACAGTTTGCCAATCTCGGCCTCACTGCCAAGTGGGACAAGTCGACAACTTCAACATTGTCCAACGCCATTACTTTGAGCGGTGCAATGCGTGTTATTAATAACAGACCCTCCAACCGCGTCGCAACGTGGACTCTCTCGGAGAACCCCTTGCAACCCTTGGGCATTCCCGCCTCGCTCAAGGTCGCTGTGCTTGTGTCTAGACAAGACCGGCAGAAATTCCTATGCAGAGTTAATTTCGTTTGTCGCACAGATCTCAAGACGGCTATACAAGGATGCTTCAACAAGATACCAAAGGACGACCCTATTATCTTTCAACCAAACCCTCGTGACAAAGGTGCAGGCTCGAATAAAAACGTCACATACGGCCATGATGAGTTGAGTAGCGTCCATCTAAATGACCTCTGCAGCGTCACATTTAGAACGCTTATGACGAATGGCAAGGCTTGAGGATAGCTTATCCGTCTAAGTAGTGCCTAAATGTCTGCCTAGTATTCAATTCAGCGTGAATAATACATTAGCTAGCGTGCCAAACGGAGATCAGAAAAAGCGAGACTGCAAAATGGATAAGTGCATACATTCAGCAACATGGGCACCCAATCAGCTCAATAAGTAGCCCACGCGTTTGTAGAGGAAAGCCTGTTCAGCCAACACCTGAATTTTACAATATAGCTATAATAGCAGCTACTAGAGAAAAATAATTATGGTAGCAGCTATTAAAGAAATATATATATAGTAGTAGATACTAGCGAAACTAAAGCTATAGTAGCAGATACCCAAAAAAACAGGCTTATAATTTAACGCATGGGTTTTCAAAATCCCCTCGCTCAAAAGGTTGATGTCCACCAGGAAGCTCCTAATAGGATAACCACACTCATCTCTGCTGTCAAATACCCTCCAATCGTTAAAATGTTGCTCTCAAAAGGTCTTCCGATCAACCAAGACAGTATAATGTGGAATGCACTTTCCAGAGCTGTTGCATTGAATCAGCACGAGACCATTGAAATTCTGATCAATCGTGACCCTAAATCCGATTTGGAATGCGTTGTTGGACAGTATACTGGAGAGGAAGCCTTGATGGGATACACAGCTCTCCAACTTGCCTGCTACTGGTATGATTCGAAATGTGTCAAGCTTCTCGTAGATGCTGGGGCCAATGTAGGTTTCCGGAATAGTAAGGGCGAAGACGCACTCAATATCTTGTTGGGTGGAAATTAAGGCTCCAAAGAAGCAGAAGAGTGTTTTAGACTACTGCTGTTTAGCCGCAACAGTATTAATGCAGGCTATGTCAACGAGAAGCGACAGACTCGACTCCATTTCATTCAAAGAGGTACAAGAGTTCCAACCGTCGAGCTACTGGCCGCAGCCATGGCCCCAATCGACACTCAGGATGAAGATGAATATACGCCACTGGCTATCGCCGTCAGAGAGGGGAACTCTGGCGTTGCAAGGCATTTTGTTGAGCGTGGGACCAAAGTCAACATATTCAGTCCCAAATTCGGCAGCATCTTACATATAGCGTCGCTAATGGCGATTTGAGCCTTGTTAAATTTCTCGTTGATGCTGGGGCCGATCGCGAAGCGATTGATCCCAAGTACGGCAAATCATTATTATACACGGCACTCGATATTAGAGATGACTGGAGACTTAGGAGAATGGTCAGGTATCTTGCGGTTGAAGCCAAAGCACCTATCAACAAATTTGGTGGTGAGCTGGGGTATCCTATCATTTGCGCGGCGAATTCGGTCGAATACCCTGTTACGCCTATCACAGTTGTCAAGTTCCTCATCCGGTGTAAGGCTGAAGTAAATGTCGCTGACAGCCAAGGCAGAACCGCGCTACATTTTGCATGTGTATCAGCATCTCTGGAGCGTATGAATGCCTTGGTAGAGACCGGTGCGAATGTTGACACAAAAGACAAGTTTGGTCGATTGCCGATGCACTTTGCGGCGGGAACGGATTCAACGGATTCAACGAATATCGTCGCATATCTTTTAGACCAGTATAAAGACATGGATATTAATGTGGCAGACCAAGATGGCTGGACTCCTCTGATGTGAGCAGCAAGATCAGGCTCTGCGAATACCATCACGACGTTGGTTGAGCGAGGTGCCGACGTATGGGTTCGAGGTCGTGGAATTGGCGCCGGAGGAGAGTGGTCAGCATTGAAGTTGATGAACTTTACAGACAATAACACAGACTTGAGACATTTGCTGGAACCCAATGAGCGTGCCAGAGTAACCTCTGAGGGCATAGAGGAGGAGTGGGATGATAACTTCCATGAGATTAAGCCGGGGGATAGGAAACCCTATGGTTGTGACAGCTGTTTTATGGTAAGCGAGCCGCCTCGTTTTTTGAGCTGAACCAGATGATAACAACATCATGACATAAAGGACATTGTAGGTCGCCAATGGCAATGCGTCGAGTGCCCAGTTGACTCTTCGCTTTGCTTCGAATGTTTCGATCACCGATCCGACTTGCACGATCTGACACACACCTTTCGGGTTATTGAGCCATTATATCGTAAAGAAGACTCGAAGGGCGATGAAGGTGCAGCGGCTGAGGCGAAGAATTCTGATGGCGAAGATTTTGACCTCGACGGGGATTACTAAGATGCCAATTATGTATTACTCGATATTCAGCTGGTATAAGGTGCCCTTGAATTGCAAAGGCCAAGCGTGTTTGACGAGACTGCACAATAGAAGCTAGATGGAGGAATGTTCGCATGCCGTTGAAGTGTGAAATGCCATACGTCTTTGGCGAGATTGCCAATAAAAGCCAGATGAAAGAGGGCTATTACACCGAGGCTTTCAAATAGACCATCATTATTAGCTGATAAAAGCACTACTAGCTGGTAGTAGTGATGGTAGCTGATAGCAGCTCATTTCTCGTGACATCACACGACTGTCAATATTAGTATACATTCGACGACACTGACTTCTTTGCGTGATAACTTCTGTATGCGTTTCCTCTCGCGACCTTTGTATCTATATATTGCACCACAACTTTATGCAAAACTGTTGAAGCACTGTGGTATATCACTCATTTTGTAATCATAGTATAAAATTCGATGCGCCTTCACAAACAAAGCTCGTGAACAAATGTCGCGGCCAACACTGTATGCTCGAAGCATATGAACGTATTTCGTAGTTGAGCGCACAATTGCAAAGAAGTAAATTATGCCTTCTTCATTTGTGCGAGGTATGCCTCAACGTTGATCTCCCGTAACTTATTCGCCTTTTCCTCCACCTGTTTCTCGTTGTCCAGCTGATACGCCTTCATCTTGTTGTGATATTCGGGAATGAAGGCACCCAGGCATCGAATGGCGAGGAGAGCCGCATTAGTTGAGTTGTTGATGCCTACCGTGGCTGTCGGTACGCCCCGCTAAGAATTTGTCAGCCTCATGATGATCGAGAGAGAGAGCAGTGTTAACAAAGAGAGGATTATTTAAACTTACGGGCATCTGAACAATCGAGTACAGAGAATCAACACCGTCGAGGTGTGTGGCTTTGACGGGAACACCAATTACGGGCAATGGCGTGTAAGCAGACACCATTCCGGGAAGGTGAGCAGCTCCTCCAGCTGCCGCGATGATGACCTTGATGCCACGACCAGCCGCTTTTGTGGCGACATCAGCCATCTTGGCCGGGGTGCGGTGTGCTGACGTGATGTCTACCTCCCATGGTACTCCAAATTGGTTGAGAATGTCGATGCCGGCCTTGAGCACCGGAAGATCGGAGTCTGAGCCCATGGTGACGAGGACAAGAGGTGCTTGTGACGGCTTGGAAACGGCTTGCTCTGGTCGAAGAGCCTTGCTGCGTGCCTGCAATCTCTCTTGTCTAATGTCGCTAGCCATGTCAACAAGCGGCTTTGCAAACTCTTCGAGCTCTGTTATGCTGGCCACCAGGCCAGTGACCGTGATGTGGCCAATCTTTCGGCTGGGCTTTGACTCTTTGCCGTAAAGATGAGCATATACGGCCATTTTGTTTCCGTACATGGACTTGGCTTTCTCGACGAGCGCCAGGTGGGAATCGGGGTTGGCGCCTCCAAGGATATTGATCATGATGCTGGAAGAGACGTAGGGTTCAATCTTGGCAGGGAGAGTTTGGTCAAGAATCGAGGTGAGTTGTGCCTTGTACTGTGACCTGGAGATGAACTGGGTTAGCTCGGTGACAGAGAAACATGTGATATGGAATTTCTTACATGTACGGCACTGCTTCGATGAAAAGATGTCCCGAGTTGTGCGGTCGAGGCGCAATCTCGTTGACCAGAATCTGGTTATCCTGGGTGACAAACATCTCAACAGCAAAAATGCCTCTTCCCCACAGCTTGCCAACAACATCGCTAGCAACCTGCTGGGCTCGCTCGCAAGCAGCAGCGGGAGTTGTTCGAGGCGGCAGATAGACTCGTGAGCAGATGTTGTCTTCGTGCACCGTCTCTACAGCAGGATACGGCAGCAGGCGCTTCGTACGACCCTCATCGTCCTCAGTGCGAATGACGAGCACAGACAGCTCGCATTGGAAAGGAACAAACTTTTCCGCATAGCAGCTAAAGTTGCCAAATTCGGCAACAGCACGCTCCAGATCAGCTTCATTGGAGATTTTAAGATTTCCTCTGCCGTCGTAAGAATCCTTCCTGGACTTCAGCATCCAGGGATACCCAAACTTGGCGGAAACAGCTTTGAGAGAGGCGAGCATGGCATCGCCAGATCCCTCAATGGCCACCGACTCCGCAACAGGGATTCCCTGGCCGGCGAAGTATGTCTTTTGCTCGTACTTGTCCTGGATCAGACGCAGCGTCTTCCAAGACGGGCAGACGGCAACCTTTGCAGTCGTAGCAATCTCTTCCAGCACGGTCGTGTCGACATGCTCCGTCTCGACGCTGAGGACGCTGCAGTGAGAGGCCAGCTCCCTGATCTTCTCTGCGTCCTTGTAGGAGCCATTGATGTTGTGGCTATTGTGGTTGATCTGCTTTGCGGGAGCGTTTTCGGCGTCGAGAATTGCGATTTCGACATCGAGGGGAGCGGCGGCCTGGCAGAGCATTCGGCCCAGCTGGCCGCCTCCGAGAAGGCCAATGACGGGTTTGGAGCTCATTTTCGAAATCAGTGAAGAGGTTCAGACGCCGTGTGAAGTTATCACTTGGTCCAATGAGCGGCGGCTCGACAGCTTGCGGGAGTTTATCGAGATCACAAAGGAGAAAAATGAGTAACAGCAGCTAAAAGTTTGAAGTGTTAGTCCAAGGTACAAGATACCCCACCAATCGACAGCCCCGCCTCACCACTATAATAAATGAGATTTACAGAGGGATCAGCTTCAGTGAAATATCGTCACGGGTTTTTGTGCGCATAGAATGGATTGACAATCATCATGGTCGCTTCATATATGCGACTACAAGTCATAAGTTTGATGAAGGAGAAAAGCCTTGACTTTTTCACAGCAAAAGATTGAGGAGCGCGACTTCTTCAAATTGGTATCGCTATCGATAACGATATCTACTGCGTGCCCCGCCAAAAATGTGCGGGCGCTTATCTTATCTGTCGATCCAGCGAGATCACGAGTCATGAGTCATCAAGATGGCCCATAAAGTGACATCACTGGGTCACCTTTGGGGAGAGGTACAGGATACGCGGCACTATGCCCCGCAAACGCCGTAATCTCTAGTCACTGAGACCCGATCTCAGTCTTGTCTGACCTAACCTGGACTGAGCATTTTGTCTTTCAGCTGTCCTATGCACACAAACGAATTTGCTCTATAGTATGAAAAGAGACAGAAAATTTCATGTTGGTATTTAGGTGATTGTTAAAGTTCCAGATGCTTCATTACATATTCATAGTCAGGGAAATCAGCATCCAAAAGGTAAACGAACTAAAAAGCCATAGGTATAAGGCGAGACGAAGCAACATAAAGTAGCTGTGCGTTTCTGATAAAGGCTCAGAACACAAACAAGTCTCACTCAACGGATTCAGTTGCCTCTAATCGGATCCAAAGTTTAACTAGTTGTACCGGTGCCTTAAAGAGCGTTATCATTTGATGCGTTGGTTGTACCTATTCGAAGACGAGAGATTCACATCTCGCAATCACCACGACAGCGCAAGCTGGCACTGGATGTGCAATATGACAATTCAGATGCTAATTGGATGCTTTCAAGTTGGATCATGATGCATAGAATGTTGATGAGCATGATCCCGGTCAACATGCTGCAAGTCAAACTGCACGGCCTCACTCTGATATGACCAGGCAGTGATTTTATGCCAACATGTGCAAAATATAGAACTTGAAGACTGGGACAATCTCGATGAGGATTAATAATTCATTGGGCAAGGTGGCAACGTGCAGCTTTTTGAGCTGGGCTGTCAAATTCTTAACCGAGGATAAGATATTCGTTGCCTGATTCAGTGTCCCTAGTCTTCAGCTAGCACTCCTACCCGCACCTTGCTACGTGTGACCTAACTCTTGTATTATCGAGTCAGTGAAATTAAACCAATACCAGCAGTCACAATTGGACTTTGAACCGTAAACCCTGTCTTTTACAGCCGGCAATAATGACGCTTCAAGGCTGTATCTAGAGTGATGCTCCTCTGCGGTCTAGTTAGCTACAGGGGGCAGACTTCTTGACTCACCCTACAACTCTATGATTGAGAAAATTCAAGATAGGCTGATATATGTCAGGTTGGCATCTTTAGAATTTGCATAGTTTCTAGCCACGATTATTCACACGACCCACATTCTAACATGATTGTGGTGCTTACGTTCAATCTAAGGACATGGAGATTTTGCGCTTCGCTAGAACTGGCAGCTGGAAATAAACTTCACCATGCTTCCACATTAATATCCGGATTGATCCCCATCAAATGATTGGATTGGACAGCCACAGGGGTTTCGGGAGACTTACAGGCACCGACTTTCCGAAAAATTTCTCCATCTGCTTTGCTGCTGTATCGGTATAAGCACTAGCTTGGTCAGCCGCTTGCTTAGAAAACCACCTTCATGACGACATCTCCGCATGTAAACGGCGTTATCCGCAGCGGCGCTTTGTCGGCATCTATGAAATCGTCAGCTATGATATCGGCATTTCTGCAATCAGGCCAAAACACTATAAGACTGCAATTAATAATATTGGTTTTATAAGTATATGGATGTATAGAAATTATTAATGTTGTTGAAGAAATAAAACTACGCAAACATAAATATATATAGACATAGATATCTCCATGGCCATGTTCCGTCAATACAGCAACACTACGAGACTCATTGGCTCATCTCTACATCACTACATTCAAAAGTTAATACTCCAAATAACTTCACGTCAGCAGTCTTCTCATCATTACTCTGTCCTCAAGTCAGCCCGGAATTCATCAAAAATGCAAGAACTAGTCATCTACGGCAAACCCACCTATGCTGGCTTTGTGAGAGAAGCTGAGATTCCGTGAGCCATTCGGTCTACTGACGATTGAGATTATCATCACTCACGACCTCCCAGGAAGCCAGGACCAAAAGATGTTCTCATTAAAGTTGCTTACACCGGTCTGAATCCAAAGGATTGGAAGGTAATATGTTTTGTTGACTTATCAAGTCCGGTTTCATCAACTAACCTCGGTAGTTTACCAAAAACCGTGATCAGTCAACTGCCTTCAACGTCGGTGATGATGTGTCTGGCACGGTTGAAGCTGTGGGGTCTGAAGTGTTTGAATACAAGCCGGGCGACCGTGTTGCGGGATTTCACAGAATGTTCCAACCTCACGGCACTTATGCAGAGTATACAGTTGTCCCGGCTTCAACCACTTTCCCCCTACCCCCTAATATTTCCCTCGAATCAGGCGCGGGGCTTCCCCTATCTTTTATGACGGCGGCTCTTGCACTGTATCAGTATCTCGGCGTTCCCCTCCCAACGACCGTCAGTGAGTCTGCTCGAAAGACCCCCATCTTGATTTGGGGCGGAGCAACAGCCGTAGGAGCCTACGCCCTCCAGCTGGCCAAGCTAAGCAAGATTGGACCCATCATCACCGTTGCTGGCAATGGAATCGACTACGTTAAGTCGCTCAACGCAGCGGACCACATCATCGACTATCGAAAGGGGGATGTGACTCAACAGATCCTTGCCGCTACAGGGTCTGCTAAAATCAAGATTGCATTCGACGCTGTGTCCGGACACGGCAGCTACGAGCGTATCACCGAAGTTCTTCTCGCGTCGGGCGGTGGCCACATTAACATGGTGGACCCCCCTACTGACCCAACCTGGAAGTTTCCCGAGACCATCAAGTTCACTCGCACATTCGTGTCCTCTGCCTATCACGTCTCCCACAGTTTCATCAATGAGGAGCAGGCACATGCAGATGGCGAATTTGCCTACTTCTTCTACAGGTACCTGAGTCATCTGCTGGCAGAAGGCAAATTCAGGCCCCATCCTGTGGAGATTCTTCCAGACGGCTTGAACAGCGTTGTCGAGGGAGTTCAGGCTTTGTACGATGGAAAGGTTAGCGCCAAGAAGCTTGTGGCACGGTAAGTCGAACGATCCCACTCAGACTGGGCAAGGGGCTAATACTGGAATTTAGCATTGGGAAATAACCTCCACGTAAAGAAGAAGATCCATGTATTTGGAATGAATCATTATGAAACAACTAAACTGTCCATAGTCTGGAAATGATACGTGTTTGCGCCATCAGTGAGCCTAACCGTGATGTCTCGTATACCTTTCCGTATCAATCATAGAGGATTACTAGAATGAAAAAGTTTTCTCCCTCTGGGTACTATACCAAATGCTTGTACTGATATTTATAGCGTGGGTGACATGAGGCTTGCAAAATTTTCCTCCAGTTAGTTCGTATGGGATGATAAGGGGTCAGTTAACCGCCCACCCCACCTTGAGCGTGGCTCAGAGTATTGCCTGTTCATGGTACACTGCATACACAATACCTGGTACATTAGTAGATAGAAAGGCAGTACATAGTGTTGCGTAATAGAGTGACCTTGACTTCAAAGTACTTCCCCGACTATTAATCAAGGATTATGGTATCTCCGGATCAAGTCTGTGTACCGTCTTGACTGGGTTGATGTTGATATTACTCCTGATCACAGGATGTTAGATCAGGGCCACGCACTTGTCATCATTGGCTTTGATGGACGGCTACAGCAAGAGATCATTATTCCTTTGACATATCCAGTAAAAGTAAACTGCCCTCTTGTTTGAAGATTAGTCAAGTAGAAGCCGGACTGCCAGGGCATTCACGATATTTGGAATTGCAGCAGAAACGAAACACAACTCCTATTGGTGCCCGCTCGAATCCTGTCCAAAACGCACCAATAGACCTCCAGGCATCTACATTTTTAATTCCATTTCTACATAATGTACACAGCCTCCTTCACGCTTTATCGATAGAAAGATGGCACCGATACGCGGTATATTTGTGTTAGGCTCCATTGTGTGGCCTCATCTTACTTGACTTAGGACCGGTGTACTACCCATCTACCAAGTATACCAAACTGGGCACCAGCAAATCCTCAATATTAGATATGGCGAACAATCAGAATTTATTCTTTTACGCGCCCACGTGGGATTATCCACCCAACGGTCCCATTAAGCTCGGCAATGTCATCACCTCCGTGAAGAAACCCGAGCGGCCGCTCCATTGCGTCCCGCCTTCGGACTCAGACATCTTTTCGACCAAGAAAATGAGCTTTGAGCACACCAAGGATCAATTACAGAATCAGAGATTCTCTATTCTGGTGAGATTCTTTAGCATTTTCGGCCTAAATGTCCGAGTCAGTACCGGACGAGAGACAAGGTAGGCATATGTAAATGCGGGGGCTTGAGGGCTGAGTGGGCTGGAGTTGTGCAAGACATGACTGATTCAGGCGAACAAAGTGTCCCACTAACAAATGTACCAGCAAAGAGAACAAGTTTTCCTTCAAAACCGTCGAAACGACCCAGTTCGTTCCCACGTCCTCTTACATCCAAAGCTGTGTCGAAAACGATGATGTTCGCCGCTATCTACAAATATCCCGCTATCGTAAACCACTCTATGTCATCACCGGCTTAAAAATAGTTACCGGTGTTGATGCCAACATGCACACGTCGCACGCTGTTCAGAGTTCTCCAGCCATACAAATCGATAGCACTATACCTCAGATAGGGCCGATTAGCTTTGTCGGATCCGGAGCTGAGAACACGGCTTCTACCAAGGCTGTTACAGCGTTTAAGAATAGCGATGACTTTGTATTTGCGTTTCGCGTAAGTAAAGTCCTTGTTAGTAAGGGACCTGATCAGGTCATCAGCGAGGAAGATTATCGTAGGGGAGCTATGCTCGGTACTGAAGAAGAGCAGCAACGAATCAAGAGCCCACCACTTTCCATTCTAAAGGTTGAATATCCAGATGCGGAAGCCGAAGGGTTTGATGCAGAGGAGTTGACTGAAGGAGAAGAGGTTGTGGTCTGCGCAGTTCCACGAGAAACTAATGACGCATAGTGATATTACTTCTAAGACTGACTTCATAAACCTCAAACAATGCTTCTATCTCTTTAGAGTCTCCAAAATCTCGTCATTAATCCTATCCAACTCCCTTCCAAATAAATTATGCTGATGTAGACTTAATTCGACGTAGTAATAATTGCCTCTTGGCGCGTAGTTAGGCCCTCGCTTGGCGCATCTTTTCAGTAAAGCCTCCATTTTTTCCTTTCTTTTGAGAGCGAATGCAGCTTTCTCTGGTAAGTGAAGCCTTGCATACTGTAACAAGAAAGCCGCGATTCCTGCCATGATCGGCGTTGCATATGATGTCCCCGAACGTGATTTGACATACCTTTGTGGAGTTGCTGTGTCGTTGCAAAGCAGCATTGGCCATGCCGACTCGATCGACTCGCCAACTGTTGCAAAATTGAGATTGTCGGGCTCTGCAGTTGGGCTAAAGCCTGATGGAGTTCCCAAGGTATCAGTAGAATGGACACAGATAACCTGTGAACTGCTCGCAGGATAGGCTCGACCAAGTTTGCCACCGCTGTTGGAAGCGGCGGCAAAAATAAGGATTTTCTTCCCGTGTGCCCTGTCTATGGCATCCTCAAGGTCGTCATAGCCTTCGAAATTTGTAGAAGGCCATCCAAACGATAGAGAGATGATATCTACATTCCAGTTGTCAATTGCGTGGTTGATTGCCTGTTTATGTCAGTGTCGGGTATACATATGTGAATGGCATGCCGCCTGTCTGCTTACATCCACAACAACTTTTGCATTTGGTGTTGCGTTCTCTCTGTCTGCAATTTTGGCAATGTAGAGTTCCGCATCAGGGGCGTAGTCGAGTAACAGACTGGCAGTAAAAGTGCCATGTCCGTTCAAATCGGGAATGGAGTTTCGACTTTTATTATAGAAATTAAACTTTGCTTTAATATTTTCCTCATAGGCTTCAAAGGCATCATGGTCGCGATCTATACCCGTATCTAGAATGGCAATCTTCACAGGTCCTGAGGGAGGATCTGGAAGGTACGCTCTGATACATTTGGCATAGACATTTTCGTACTCAAATCTCCATCTTATATAGTCCTTTGTCCTAAAGAGACGATTAATTAGTAAGAATTACGTTCAAATTTGGAAGTGGTCAACGAAAGGAAGTTTTTAGTGCCATGATCGAGATGCCTACTTTGCGTTGAAATATCCTCCATCGCTGATTTCGTCGTCAAAAAATTGAGATGCTCGATAATTAGGCTCGTAACTTGAGAAAGAACTCAAACTCTTCAAAGAGGGCGAAGACGAAGCGAAAGAGTTAGCCATTGAGATTTGATGTAAAAGTTTCTGCAGCGGCGGTGGGCCCAATTGTACTCCCAATTGGCCTGAATCGAGTAGCATAACAGCGGGTGAAGGGCTTCGTTGGTGTATAAGCGGCTCTTGGGGCAGAGTAGAAGTAGATGTCTGTGACTCATGATCGTTTATTATCTGACCCCATTGCCCAAAGTCAAGCTGTCTTGCATAGTCATCCACGTCGTCTAGAGGAATACTGCTAAAACCAGATGTCAAGTGGAGCTCCAATGGCCGAACAACGTCTTGGTAGATCTGAGATTTCATTGCTGCATTATCAAGAGGGTCGCCTTCCTCGTCTTCCCACCTCGCTGTATCCAAGCAGTTGTCTATCGCCTTGAGAAGAGGAGAGTCTTCCGGGATCTGAGATCGCCATCCCTCAATCTCGTTTTCATCTTCACCATTGAAGACCTGACAAACGTCTACTAGTGTTATGTGCCCACTGGAACTCTCAAGCGGGATACCACTCATCTGAGCTAGCTTGGTAAAAGGCTTCGCAAAGTAGACCTCTATCAAAACAATTGCCAAAGCAATCAGCGCTGGACAGGGATGTCCCGCATCGAGGTCTTCAAAGCTTGCTTCGTCTTTGTCAGCGCTGTCAGGCTCAACGTCTGTAGTTGTACCAGCTTCAGGCAAATCGACTTGGATGAATGGTCTCAAGGGTGTCTTCCGAGTAGTTGTCTGAAAGAATTTAATATTTGCTGACCCCCAACCCGACTGAAGCCAAGATGTTCTATTCAAGTGAAGAACCGCATATCCTATGATGAGAGATAATATGCGCTTGGTCTTCTCTGTGAAGAATTCGCGCCTCTCTTCAAAACATTTCAGCAGGGAAATGGGTTCAGCAGACTTATCAATCCAAAAATTGGTCTTTTCAACTCTTTCGCTGAAAAGTTGGCCTTTTTTTAGCTTTAATACGAGGCGCTGCCATGCTGTTGACTTTGTGCTATCAATTGATTTGCAAAGATTCTCCACGACCTTGGCTTTATGAGCTTCAAGAGATGGAGGAGCGTGGCCATCCATGGCAAACCCGACGACTCTCTCCTTGACCGTTTGGACGCGAATCTCGTGCCATTTATGCTCCATGGAAAGAAACATTTCGAAATCCAGTATCCTAGTTGCGTCACCATCCTTGCAACGCATGACGCTTGGATTAGACCTGGTATTTAGACTCTTGTCTGTCTTTTTTACGGGTCTGCGATAAGTTCCCATCTCAAGTTTGGCTCCAAATTCATGCGGTTTGGAGCAAGAACAGCCCTTGCATTTTTGTAGTGCTTCAAACAGGGCTTGGGCTGCTTTCCATACAACATATGATGGCTCGTAATTGCTGGCGGATAAGACATCATGCGAGTGCTTTTTCAACACATTTTCTGGTTGCTGTTGCTGTTGCTGTTGTTTCTGTTGTTTCTCTAAGATATCTGCGCAATCCTCCAATCCTTCGTCTATTCGATTAAGATGGTCCTCGGGTGATCCGAGTTTCATCCATTGTGTAACAAACTTGACTTGCGCATTGTGCTCCTGCTTTCTGGTTTTGTTCCAGGATGCATTAAGATCCTGAAGTCGAAGCTTGTGATGTGGCCTTTCGTGGAAGCCAATTTCTGGAATCAACGAGTAAAAATAGGACAAAGCGCGATCGATTACATCTCCGTTAAATCGAGATGAAACGGGGCGTGCGCGCTCTATGCATACTTCGAATCTCATGCAATGAAGCGCTAGGTGGCTATAGAATATCTTTTCCTCCTCATGCACGTCGATGTTTCGAGCGATTTCTGCCATTTGACGGAAGGTTTGCGACATTCTCTGGAACATGTCAACTTCGCTCTCGCTCTCGCTCTCGCCCTCGGGAGCCAGCGATGTGCCCATGCTGTCAATTGTAGATGCAAGCAGATTAAATGCGTGTCTGTTGAGTATTAGGAGAGGCGAGGGATATTGGGAGAGGTTCAATGCTGTTGGCTTTGGTTATAGATTCTCCGCTCAACGTGTGGGTAATTGTCAACAATGATAATTCGCGTGTTGCTTCTGTAACTTCTGTCGTAAGAGATGGAAGCGGGGATTATTGAGATGAATTAAGCGAGGCATAGCCGATCATTCAATCATACGAGCTTGGCCAATCACAAAAGGCTCAAGGGTGGTTGGTTGAGGCTCGCAGCCTGATTAATCTACAGTGGGTAGTACCATCGGCGTGAGGAGAAGCTGACACCACTTCAATGCCCTGTAAACAACTACGAAAAGTGGCCAAAATTAGATGATCGGCTTATCGCGTGAGGACAGATTATCTCCTAGCCATGACAGACACCAGCACGACTACTGGACCGAACAAGAAAACCGTTGCTGCTGCTGCTAACCAATGTCTCGAATCCTTCAACAAATGCCTCCTGCAACAGTCATCTATCCACCCTAGAGAGTTCTCTCTGGTGGAGGACCAAGTTGCCAGATTTTCTACATGGACTAGTGGGATTGGAGTGTTCGCTCCTGGGCGAGCATCCATGGATCACCGGCTTCGATACGCTCCTGAGGTGCAGAGTATCACTATAAGCTTGTTGGAGTCGTTAAACTACCGCATCCAAAAGCGTACGCCATAGTCTTTCCCCAGCTTCAGCTATAGCAACCAAATATCTTTAGAACTATATGAGCCAATCTAATGCGCAAACAGTCTTGGAACTCCTTCATAGCCATGTAAATGATCCAGAAACACAGATCTCGAGTGTCCTTGACGAAAGGCTGGGGAAATTCCTAGGTTATATTGCTACAGAGATCAGCCATCTCAACAAAATGTCAAACATCATTCGCAAAGCTAGTCAAGACTCCCAAAATATTCAAGCAAAGGACTTTCACATGACAGACGAGGAAGGAAATGATGTTCAACCAATACTGCTGAGTCATTATAAACGCTATATTGGTGAAGGATTTCCCACAGCCAGCGTCACCATTCAACAGAGACTTGCTGACGCGATGATTCTTCGACGGAAACGAATTTTGTATAGGAGATCCCGCTATGGAGGCACGGCTATCCAACTACCAAAAGTGGAAAAGAAAGCCTCAATTACGTTGCCAGATTCTCTGCTACCACTTAAAGATAATCAGATGGCTATTGCACCCTCTCGGATCAAAAGTGCAACAACTCTACAGCCCGAAAAGTTCAAAATGGCCGCTTCCAGCCCATCAGTCGTTTCAGTCACCATGACTGTAGCGTTAAGCAACCATGAAGCCCTCAAGTTTCCAACAGCGCCCGGGCTCCATGACAAGAGAAAGTACGACCAGTTTAAGGCAGGACAATTGGCAATTCATCAAGTTATGCTCGGAAAAGCTGATGAGCCATCCTCTGCCGCCGACCCAACACTCAACGATATTGCTGACATGAGAGA